TTTGGCGAGGACTGACGTGTAGTGTCTGATAAATATTAGTTATTAAGCCCCTTCTATATTGTTTTTCATATTAATGCTTCATATCGATGGATCTTAAATGTTTTTAAATAAGCCATGGGCAGCTTTGTCTTTTGTTGGTGATCTGTTTAGTTTTTATGGCACAATGTTTGTTATATAGTGAATTTATTGTGTTTAAAAATATGCCTACCCATTCATCGACACTATCAGAACTGGAAAATTCTGTAGGCCAGTCATTATCTGTTCTGTTGTTTTTCTGACCTTTATTGTATTTACCCTGTTCTTTTTTAAATGATAGTTCATCTGCCATTATTACCAAAGTCTTTTACATGCTAATTTCATTCTCTTTGATGGTTTTCTTACACTTCGAATAATGTATTTGTTTTGAGTTCTTTCTTCTTTCCATATCTACATTTACAGAGTTATTTTTCATCATGTTATTTTCCACTGCACAGTGGAAGACACTTTTCCGATTGCAATATTTTTCTCTTGTACTAAGGCTACCTTCATGTTTATTTTGGCATCGTTCACCAATGATGATAAGGTGTTTGTACAATGTATTTGTCTGCTTTGAGGGTATTAGCACCTTACCCAGGTACCTACCTAGAGGTGCAGGGTCAGGTCAGATCATGTGTTCAGTAGTAAAAGTCTGCACGACTTGGTCATGTGATATACATAGTCAGGAAAAGTTGGATTGGCCAAGAGAAGTATGTAGGCCCAGGTCAGCTTCTTATTGAATTAGGCATGAGGACAATGGGGTGCAATTCCCTTTTTATTTATATATACATTCAGTCTCTCACTTGCTGACTTGACGACATTATCATAGCTCATTCCTCAGCAAGGACTTTGCCGGTTGATTTAAGTAGCTGGAGTCCACCATGGACTTTCCTATAAGTAACATTGTGACCAGTATTGTTAAAAGTGCAGGGTTCTCATACTGAACCTTCCATAGTGTGCCAGTGTATGTCATATTTGTTGCCCTGATATGCTTAACGATAGATATATGTCTCTGTAACACTGGTCAACAACCAAAATGCTTCTGAGACCAGAGTAGCAGTTTCTAATTAATTTTAGGTCACTGTTAATGAATATCACAGTTAAAATTGTTTGTTAGCTCTACTTTTCAGTATACACCTATATGTCACAACAGGTTCCAACAGGCTTGCGGCAGTGTGTTTCTTACTGCACTCACAGTCTCGCTGTCCTTCATTATTGTTCCAGCAGTCATAAAAGGTGGTTGTGCTGTGCAAATTTATATTCTGAGGTGAAAGGTAGGTGATTTTCTTAGCCAAAAACTTTTTAAACTTATAATAAATATTCAATGAGCAAGCTATTGATATGTATGTGAGGCATATTATATTAATTTAATTTTCCTACTGAATGATATACTGTAAGTACTTCTGCTTAGCTGTCATGCTTTGTACTATACAGTGGTACCTTGACTTACGAGTGCCCCAACTTATGAGTTTTCCGAGCTACGAGCAGTCGCTCGGTTGATTTTTTGCTTTGAGCCGAGAGCCAAAATCCTAGTTATGAGCGAGCTTCAGATATGCCGCCACTAGTTGGCACAGCGAACGCCACAACATCCGCCTAGCATCCCAGCATTTTGTGCTTTCTGTGCAGTTATTATGCCAAATTTGTTTTTTCTAACCATGGGTCCTAAGAAAGTACTGTAAGTGCAAAGGACAGTGCTGAGAAGAAGAGGAGGATGATGTCCAATGAATTAAAGCATGAAATCATAGAAAAACACAAAAAAATCACTTCTGCTTCAGTGTTTTCCTTATGAAACTAGTGATTTAGTGCAGTTAGCCTCACAAATACTGTTTTCTCTTATAATAAGACCCCAAAATGGCAAGAATGGGAAGATATGGTCAGAGCGATAATTATTTTAACCTCAGGAGCGGCTTCCACCAATCATCACATGACATATTTTATTCATTCTAGACTATATATATCATGTTTCTATGTTATTTATTTTGTTTATTATGTCATATTAGATCAATTGTGATAGATAAGTCGTAGAGTTGATATTAGCGTTATATTGAGGTATTTTCTCCTGCCTCCTAAGAGCCAGGAATCCCACAGGAACGGATTAATGGCATTTCAATTAATTTCAATGAGGAAAATTTATTTGATATACTGTATGAGCAAGCCAAGTTATGAGCTCGGTCACGGAATGAATTAAACTCGTAAGTCAAAGTACCACTGTAATGATAAATTAATAAATTTTCTGTTTATCTTGTATAATTGTTTGTTGTTTTCTTCTTTCAGATGCCTTGTACTTGTGTGAATAGGGCAGACAACTTCTGCTACATTTGTGGTTAGGTGATCTTTGCATCACAGAAGCACCATATAACTGCTATGGTTAGAAAGGCATATCACCTATATTTTAGGTGCAAGATTGGTGACCATGATAAGAATTGGGCTCCACATATATGCTGCAACAATTGTGCTACAGTACTAACCTTCACCAATGGTTGAACAGGAAGAGGAAAGGAATGCCTTTTGCTGTGCTAGTGACATGGCGAGAGCCAATAGACCATACCAACAATTGTTATTTCTGCATGTTACCTCCAGTACAAAAGGGCTTGTCAAAGAAAAAAAAGGGGTCCATTGAATATCCAAACATTCCATCAGCTATTTGCTCAGTTCCACATGGAGAAGGCCTAACTGTTCCTGATGCACCAACTTCGGTATCCTTCGAGTCAGATGAAGAAAGTGGTGAGGAGGAAGAAGAGAAGGATGAGAGTGCTAGATTACAGAGTGACCGAAACTTTGTTAAAGCACACTCCTCTAGGCCACATTTCATAACAAAAGGGGAACTCCATGACTTTGTCAGGGATCTGCAACTACCCAAATATAAGGCAGAGCTGCTAGGCTCTCGTCTTCAACAGTGGAATCTCCTAGCAGCTGATGTGAAGATTTCAAAATTTTGTGACCATCAGCAGCAGTTCAATGATTTCTTCACAATAGAAGGTGATTTAGTGGCCTGCAACAACATTAATGGTCTGATGGAAGCACTTGGCATCGACTACGAACCCAGTCACTGGAGGCTGTTCATAGATTCATCAAAAACAAGTCTGAAAGGTGTCTTGCTGCATAATGGCAATAGTAAACCATCAGTTTCTGTGGGCTAAACATCACATACGAAAGAAACTTATAAGAATATAAAGCATATGTTGCAGTGCATGAAATATGAACATCTATGGCACCTCTGTGGTGACTTAAAGGTTGCTGCTCTTGTGATGGGTTTGCAGGGCAGATACACCAAGTACTGCTGCTTTTTATGTTAATGAAACAGCCATGCAAGAGGTTCCCACCACATCAGGAGAGACTGGCCACCCCGTCAATCATTGGAGCCTGGGATAAAATATGTTGAACATCCACCTTTCATTGAACTAACCAAAATTTTGCTACCACCACTACACATAAAAATGGGGCTCATGAAAAACTTTGTAAAAGCTAAGGACAAATCCAGTCAGGGATTCAAGTATTTAACATCAAAATTCTCCTCACTGAGCGATGCTAAGAGAGGAAGTCTTCAATGGTCATCAGATTTGAGAGCTTCTTAAAGATGGTAACTTTGAATCAGACCTTCATGGGGAGGAGAAAGCTGCCTGGGAAGCTTTCAAGTTAGTGGCAAAGGTATTTCTCAGAAACAAAAGGGAAGGCAACTATGAAGAATTGGTGGGAAAACCTCATCAAGGCTTACAAGAACATAGTATGTAACATGTCACTTAAAATCCACTTTTTGGACTCACATTTAGACTTTTCCAGAGAACTGAGGGGCAGTTAGTGACAAACATGATGAAAGGTTTCACCAAGATATTTCAACCATGGAAAAATGGTACCAGGGCATGTGGGGGCACAAGAATGCTTGTAAACTATTGCTGGACATTAGTAAGAGATGATTCTTCAGCCCACTATAAGCATCAAGCAAAAAGGCAGAGAGTAGCTATAGATTAGAGTTTAAAATATACTGACACACTGTACGTTATAATATAATCAAATATTAATGTCTCGTATCTTTAAACCTATAGCCAGTAAGCATTTTTCAAGGTGATATTTGGATTCAGGACATGAAAATACATAAGAATTAACCAGTCTCATTTAAGAAGCATACCACTTTTCAAAAAATGTTGACCAGTGATTGGTAATGGTTTTCATTCCCCTTTTCCTTCCCTTGTATATTTATATGTAACAAATTTTGAAACAGTATGGATCTAAGCCCACCCACAGGAAGTGGCTGTAGAGTATGGTGTCATGTAATGCATTTAACGGGTCAAGGATCTTCACGACTAATTCCAGTGGTGGCAGCAAGCTTGGTACATGAATGAAATGTCATCTGTCTTCCTGACTAGGCCACATGTGTTGAATGTTTGCATTTGATCAGGAACTCTCTTGTTGACAGGGTTAAGCTACAACTAATGCTCAACTCCCACATCTGCCAACCAGGGCTCAATGCCAAGTGCTAGATCAACCAGGTTGTGATGTGGACATGTGTGCCAGGAAGCTACCCACAGCAACAGTCTGATGCTTAGGCAAGCCCGGCCCATGACCAGGCTGTGGGAGTAGGAAAACTCTTGAAACTGGCCACAGGTATATCACAGAGTCAGGTTCTCACCTCATGCCTGCTCATCACCTGCTCTCTAGACTATACAAACCTATGCTTAACGTGTACTCTAAATTCCATAGACTTGGCAAAGCTTTACCTCCAGGCAAAACATTGTCTAAAGGTTTCCATTCTGCTATATATAGTGTCTTTTTATCAGCTTATTGGTTTTTATCTCTTCTGCAGATTCTCCTGGAGTAATAATTACATATTTCACCCCAATTATCATCTATAATGTGTTCTGAGTTTTTCTCTGGGCATATTTCCTCAGATTGTTCAGTTTCATGTTTTTGTGGTGTTGCCTCTGTCTTTAATTTGTACATCACCATTTTTCATTGCTTGTTATACTACAGCAAGTATTTCCTGACAGGTGTGGTTCAAAAATCGCCGTGCCAAATGGAGAAAACAGAAAAAGGAGACACAAGAAAAATGTCTCGATGAAATCAAGGTCATTCAAGGTGACCCACAGAATGGTCTGTTTAGTCGAGAGATTCTAGAGGTCAAGTCAACAGCCACCCTTAAGTCATCCGAGGTAGTTCCACACACAAATTTACAGAATCCAAAGGTCAAGCTACATCTCAGGAAAATTAAGTTCAAGACCAGCAAATTACTTCAACAGCACTGCAAGGGTAATGATCCAATTCCCAAGTTCACTCTAAGTCAGGGCATAATGGGAACCAAAGCCAGGGATAATGACAGAATACTGCAAGACCAACTGTTCCTTCAAGATGGCAGCCAGAAAGATAGTCAGCTCCAGGAGTATTTAATGCTTAAGCAACACAAGAAGGAAAAAAAACAATGTAGGAGTGAAACAATTACTGAATACCAGACAAGAAATTAGACAAGACATAGAGGAAAGGGCATTAAGAACTGGCATCAAACATAACACTTCAACTGGCAAACACCAATCAGACGTGGAAGCTGGGAGTACCCATACTCCACACCTAGGGTGGGGCCACTACAATATAGGGGAAACAACGTCAAGTCTCAAAAGAGACAAGTGTTACCCTGAAGGACGATGATACTTGACCCTCTAGACAAGCAAGAGAAAACCTGAGAAACTGAGAATAATGGAATTGTGAGGAACACAGATTAAATCACTTAAGGTAATATCACTGAGGGTTGGGCAAGTTAAAAGTGTGCAAGCCTTTTTGTATGTGGCTTTTTGACATATACAGACATGTATGTCACAGTAGTTAGTCTGCCACTAGTTAATATGTCCTAAAATTCAGTCATTGGTGGGCTTGTGTTAATAGTTAGTCAACAGCCAATGAGTTTACTATCCTAATAATCAATAAATAGTTCATACATATTAGGCAGCAGTTAAGTCCCACTTCTTACTACAGTACTTAACTTACCACATACATATCTTAACAGCAACCTGGCAGTTAGGTTCTACTCCCTACCAATCAGTTGTGTATTTAATAGTAGGCTAGTAGTTAAGTTGGACTTCCAACTGTTCAGTTTGTGTATCCTAGCTCAGTCAACAACTGGTTTATATGTCATAAGAGTCAGCAGTATCTTGAAGAGTGCAAATAGGCAGCCAACAGTAAGTCTCCCTGTTATAACATGCCAACACTTAGTTCATGTAATAATAAGTAGTCAAGAGAAAGTCTATCTCTCCTAACTGCTGTTCACATAGCCTAGTAACTAGCTCTGAATTCACATTTTCAAAGTTAACTTTTGTGTCTGCATAGCTAGTTGTTGACTTATATCATCAAATAACCATTTCAGTGTCCTAGTATTTAAGTCAATTTATGTATACAAATTGCTAAATGTCATTTCACCTGTCTTAACAAATCAATAATACATGTTGTAGCATTCAGTGAATAGTATATTTATGTACCCTAATACTGTATTCAGCTCGCATGTCCCAGGAATGAGCCAGCAGTCAGCATAGTTAAAACAGGGTCAAAAAATTTTCAAAAAAAAAAAAAAAAAATTCTTATGAAATGATAGAGAATCTTTTCCCGTCATAATGACACCAAAAGTATGAAATTTGATGGAAAACTTACGGAATTATGCTCTCGTGAAATTAGCGGTCTCGACGATGTTTATGCATTGGCGATTTTGCCCACTTTGAGCCCTATCTTCGGCCAATTCCAATGTACCATTGAACAAAAATCATAACTATTTTGCTACAACTCCATTTTTTCTATCGAATGAATACAAGAAACCACCCATTTACCGATTTCAACTATCCAATAAAGTGGTCAGAAATTGGCAATTTTGCCAATTTCCAAATAGGGTCTAGAATAAACAAGACAGACATTCCTGGCACTAAAATAAATTTTTTTCAGTTCATTAGTCACATGCCCAGGCCTCTTTACATTTCTTTTGCTTTCCACTTTGAATTTTTATTCTCACAAAATAATAAAAGCTTCACTGTTATGCAGACTACTGCATTAGTGTAGAAATGGCATAAATAATATCAGCGCACTTGTGAAAGAATATTAGACTCACCAGTTGACATGTATTGGATGTGTGGTATGATTTGTTTACTTTTGAACTTTGGCAAAAATCAAACATTGCTACTTTGAGCTCAATTTCAAGGTACTTTTCACTGTGAAACCAATCAAAAATCATCTAAATTTTTATAATATGTCTTTCATTCTATAAAATGAGACCATGAAAACTAGAATACAACCGTAAATAGCACGAAAATACACTGCAAAGTTGCTGTTTTAAAGCAAAAACACGGTCAGTTTTTTTTTTTTTCTCATTATGCACTGTGTGCTGCAGGATTTTTTTTATACTGCGCACACTGACCACATAGACCCATTCTTTCATATGTAGGCCTACCAGCTTTCTCTCGCTATATTTGAAGGTGCTAGAATTTATGCGTACTAGTACAGCACCAACCCTGGCATGCAAGCTGTACTAGTACGGCACCAACCCTGAAAGGGTTAAAGTGCCCCAGAGCGATAAAATGCACATACAGTATATTCATTAATTACCTGAAAATATTTTGTAGTCTTAATGTTTGGGTAAGCACATACAGTATATTCATTAATTACCTGAAAATATTTGTAGTCTTAATGTAGGGTAAGAGGTGAGTAAACGAAGTAAAACGAAGAAACGAGAGAGAACGAGCAAATGAGAGGAGACGCAGAAGATGTAAACAAACAGACAAACGCATCTGGTTATGGTTGATACATGTTCATCTGCACCTAACATCTCATATTTATGTTAATTTATTCCACTGTGAGATTTATTATTATAATGAAAAAGAAGTGCTGAACCTACAAGGATCATACAGCGCCGTCTACTGTGGGATGTATTTATCATGTTTATATGTCACATAGCATTTTTATAATATAATTTTGAAAAAAAATATCATAGATGCATTAATGAAAATGTTTACATTAACATAATATACGACATTTAATGCGCCTCAGAGTGATTATTATGACGTCCTCAAGACTAACGAGCCACTCTTAGTGATTTTCATGTGTACCTGCATGCACCCACGTGTGCAAGTTTATTTACGTACAGGTACACACAAGTATAATTATCAGAGTACACTGTATACAAAATATGAAATAACTTTAAACACTTGAAATTTTGGAAAGTTTCCAGACATAATAGAGAGACGTGGTGTTCATGAAGCTCATGGAAAATGTAAACAAACTGGGTGGGGCACAGTGACAGTAGAATAAATAAAAGAGCAACACTCCCATTCTCGTGTAACACACCATTTTTAGAAGGAATGACGCTCTGAGTGAAGACATACGAAAGAAATAATTTTACACAGTTACCCCAGTAATACTATTGTGTACACATTAGTAATGTTTGTTGAAAAAAGATGATACAGGAGAAAGGGGTTACCAGCCCCTTGCTCCCAGCATTTTAGTAGCTCTTATGTCATGCACAGCTTGAGGAGGAAGAATTCTTTTCCTACTTTCCTGTGGAGATAAGAGGAAATAAAGAGTTCACTAAATCTGCACACTAAAATAGCCCCTTACAAAGTGGGGGGGCATAGCTGACGGCACAAAACAGTCCCCTAAAAGCAACTACAATTTTCTGAAAATGCTTATAAAACCACAAAATTGTAAAAATATTGCAAAATATTAAGATTTATCATATTATACAAAATGCTGAGATTCTGAAAACTCAACAGGTATAAAGCATTTAAAGATTTTGACCATGGTCTCTTCATATATAATGGGTGATTTCCAACAGAAAAATACTTTCTTCAAGAGAAAACTTTACAAATTCCTACAAACTGTTCCTAATCAGTCCAGCTGGGGTGTGTACATCAAGATATGCTGTAAGTACCAACAGCCTAAATTGACAGTCAAACAAGAAACTTGGAACCATCACCAAGTAAACATCAGGTAGACTCATCACCGCAAGCCTAAAGGGCCGACCAAGCAATTTTTTTGCGCGCTCTCAAAAAAAAAAAAAAATTATGGAAATTGAGTTATGTACACAGAAAAATAGCTTAACTCTTTGGCAACACAATGGTACAAGAATCAATGTTTTACGACATTTCTACAAGAAATTATAGTCATTTATATCAGGTATGGTGATGGCGATATGGGTAGTGCGTCTGCTCACAGCCCATATATTTTTTGTAATTTTTTTCCTTGTTTTTTATCACTTTTTCTTGCATTATTCTTCCTAATATAATATTTGACTATTTTGCATCATAAAAGAGTAGGTGGAGCTGATCTGTAGAGTGCCAGCCAATCAGGAACCACCTGGGAACGCTCGGCAGTATTCCCGCTCCAGAGAGACTCAGGAGAAATCACTTCATTATTACGCTTATATCAGCTTATATATCAACTCTACGGCTTATTTATCTATCAGAATTGATCTAATATGATATAATAAACACTATAAATAGCATACAAACATGTTATTAATCTAGACTGAATAAAATAAGCCATAATATGGCGAGAAAAACCATCGGGAATATTTCGATATAAATGAGTTACTCTCATGTCATCTTTGAGTAAGAGAAAACGGTGTTTTGAAGAGGATAATTGCACTAGAACATCAGTTTACTAAGAAATACACCGAAATAAACGCAATTTTCGCGTTTTTTTTTTTTCGAGACGGGGAGCCAGCCGGTGCTCCAGGCCAATATCTCATAAGTAACTTATTCACTTATTTCGCTAAGGTACGCCTTTATTACTTAATTAAGTGGAATAATATTCACAGAAATTGTAAAATAATGATTTCTCTAATTTCTCATGGTACATTTTTGGAAATATTCCAAATATTTTGAGAGTTATGTGGGAGTAAAGGTCAGAGTTTTTACAACATTCCAAGAACTAACAAACTTTATTTTTTTGTGAAATAAAGATAAGATATTTAAAAGAAGCTAAACCGTGAGAAATTCGTATAAGCATTGTTCTCTCGGCACCAAGTGTCCAAACAACCTTACGTCGTCCCATGTAGGATCACCTTCCTGCCAAAGGGCATTTTCAGTAAATCAGTCCTTTTTCAGTCTTTTCTCAGTTGTTGTTTGAGGTATCTTATTGATAAATATTTACAGTAACTAGAGAAAACACTTCGTCTTATGCACCAAAACTGAAGGAAATCGGACGGTAAACAAAAAAGCAACATTTAATTGCCGTGACGACCCCTAAAGCCACAGCACGTTAAAGAAAATGTCTGTCTGTAGGTAATTCAGTGCCACCCTTTTATTGGTCAATCTCAAATCTTCATCTTCATCTGGAAAGAATTCCATTACAATAACTTGAAACTACAGTGTATATTTACAAACCCTGTATTATTTTCCCTTAGTATTTTAGATATTTTTTCCCATTCTTTTCAGATTTTCAAATCTATACCAATACTATAATGATATGTCTAGAAGTCAACAATTTTGCCACTTTTTTAGATCAAGGCCATGTGAATATAACATTATTATTCAGAAGTCATCTTAATATATTTATGAATGACTTGATTACTGTACTGATAAAAATAAAAAAATAAAATTTAATCAAGAAATATGGTACTCAAGAGGCAAATTAAATTTGGCTTTTATTTGTTCACCTTTTTTTGCATTACAAAAATAATAACATATGCAATGTATATCACAGGGTGATACAGATCCATGTGAAACTGGATCTGATCCATTTACATGCCTAATAAATTTAAACAGTAATAATATGGATTATTTTCCTAAACTTAAAATATTTATGGAATTGTGCTTGGAAAAAATAATCAAGCAAATAATTATTTCATTACAAAAGCTCATAATATTGACACACAATATGTAATCAAACTTTTTAATATTTTCTTGTCTAACACATAATGACATTTAATTCTACCCAAAAACTAAACATCCACAAACTTGTAATTAGACTAACTATATGACCAAAATCTCATATACATGTATTCATTATGGTAATTCATTGTTGTTGAATAAATATAAGTAGGGGAACTATCTAGATTTAGAAAAACAAATCTAGATAGTACAGTCTCTCCTCACTTAGCAACGTACTCATTTACCGACGACTCAGACTTACAACGGGCTCTGACCAGTATGCATACTTAAATAAGGTATATTAGAGCTGTTTATTACACTCTACAGTACACTACTGAATAAACATTTAAAATATACCAGAAATGTTATAAATGGTGCAAAAGTGACATTAAAACAATATCAAAGATGGTTGACACAAATCCACTACCGTTATAGTGTGCTCCTCACTTAGCGACAAATCTGTTTACCATAGTAGTCTTACGAACAGAACTCCATTGTTAAGTGAGGAGAGGTTGTATAGTGAAGTATTTTACAATATGACAAAAAAAAAATAAGCTGAATATTACATTAAAATAATATAAAGTACAGTATTGTATATTTGTATATAAATTCAAAGTATTATTGTATTATGAAGATCATTACTGGATCACTCACCATCACCTTCCCATATCCTTCACATTAATCATAGATTTAACTTTTCCTAAAACTATTTTTAGGATACATATTACTGGAAACACTGGGGTAGACACAGATAACTGCACACATACTTTTGTATTCATTTTATAACTAAAACAAAGTGCTCAACAACATAAATGTTCATGCATACAGTACTGCATTTTACAAAAATATAAGAAATATTCAAAATGAAAGCTCAAATATTTTTTAATGATCTAAAAATTTTCATCTTTTGTTTATATAAAATGGTCGCACTTAAGAGCTGCAAAGTGAATATAGCCATTCTAGATTATCTTTTTTTAGAGACTTCCCTATCAAATGCGACATACTGCACTGCTGCTATGATTGTTCTTCCATGCAAAGGTTTAAAGCACTGTATTAATTGAAAATAAATAATGAAATATAATTTTTGCCTGTAACTGTAATTACCAGGATGGTTTTAATACATATCATCAGGTCCAATCTCAGCAGTGTATTGAAGCCCCCGTTCTTTCATAAATCGTGCACGAAGCTGTTCTTGCTCTTGACGGCGCTCTTGTTCGACACGTTGCGCCTCCAGAATTTCCTCAATGCTCACTTGTTCCAGAGTTGCTGCTTCCTCTTTTGTATCATCCTGAAAAACAGAATAATGCACATATGCTTAGGTTAATGATGTATTAAGAATTCAAATATTGCATATACAGGTCCGCCATCACAAATCCAGCAATCAGACATCTGGTTCCATCAGTCATTCTGCACTAATTTTGGCTAGCATAATTTCAAATTTCCAGGGTTGCCACATCAACCTGTTGCTACTGTTTCGTGGCGCTACTTGCTGCATAAGTCATTCCCATTTCTTTTTCTCTATTTATTGTTATAACCTGCTTACTTTTAGCCCTAGCCATGGTTCCAACGAATAAAAGAAATGCTTCTCGCTGTGTAAAGCACATCACAGTACATTGTCCATAAAAGGTAAGGTGACTTTGAAGCCACTGTCGGCTGCCATGAGCTCAGTTTTGTGATGCAGGGGAATATGCTTTATTATGCTAATATGAAAACTATGGTTTATTTGCCTAGCACAATTGATCTAGTATGACATAATAAACAATATAAATAGTAACATAAAAACATGTTAAATACTCCAGAATGAATAATATTTGGCATAATACTGAGCAGTTCAATGGAGGTATGAAGAGGATATGAGATACAAGTACCATTCTCCTATCCCTGTCTTGAGGGCTTATATTAGAGAAAACAGAGTATAGCAGAGGGCTAACTGTGATATACACTCATAGTGCACCCTAAAACTGAAACAAAAAAGCTATTTTCTCTACACAGAGTATCATACATAGCAGCATGTGTGTAAAGAAACTAGAATAACCCAAAAAAGTCAAAGTGACTTATTTCTAGGTGTACCTGGCATGGCTTGCCATATATGATATTTGGTAAATAATTATTTTCTCTCAGTTGTTTGTTGGGCTAGCTTATTGAAACTTGGGCAATATATGATGGAAAGATGCTTCTTAATGTACATCAAAAATGAAAGAAATCGGACCACAAATAACGGAGTTCACTTCTCAGCCAATAGCCACCCGTTAGTGGTATAGTATTTTAGTATGGTTTTTATGGTTGTGTTCTCATTTTTTTGGTCTCATTTCATAGAATGGAAGATATATAACAGAAATAGACATGATTTTGATTGCTTTCACAACAAAAACTACCTTGAAATTGAGCTCAAAGTAGCGGAAACGTTTGATTGGCAATATTCAAGAGTAAACAAATGACATCACCATCCAATACGTGTCTGCCTGCCAGTCCACGTTCCAATATGCAGTCATGAATGGGTTGACATTATTTTTACAATTATTACGATAATGCAGTAGTCTGCATAACAGTAAATCTTCTATTTTTTGTTTACCTGGAGTTTACCTGGAGATAGTTCCGGGGGGTCAACGCCCCCGCGGCCTGGTCTGTGACCAGGCCTCCTGGTAGATCAGAGCCTGATCAACCAGGCTGTTACTGCTGGCTGCACGCAATCCAATGTATGAGCCACAGCCCGGCTGGTCAGGTACCGAATTTAGGTGCTTGTCCAGTGCCTGCTTGAAGACAGCCAGGGGTCTATTGGTAATCCCCCTTATGTATGCTGGGAGGAAGTTGAACAGTCTCAGGCCCCTGACACTTACTGTATTGTCTTGTGAAGGCTTACT